ATATATATATATATAATATATATAAAATTAAAGAAATTATATATAAAATCAAAGATAATTTTTCTTGTAATCTCTATGTCTCGAGAATGAGTACATTTTACAACGCAATATTCTGTACGGTATTCCTCAAAGAACCTTGTTGACTTTTTCGCAGATGGCTAGAGGATCGGAGATCGGCGTAGCACCGATAACCGGAAGAGAGTCTGTGACGGAAGCTGCAACGAACGTAGGGATCACTCAGCACACGCGGAAATGCGCTCTGAGCAGATTCCTGAGCTCGCTTTGCGGCTCTCATCATTTCAAGAACCTACAGGTAGGAGTGGCAACCATTTTCTGCTGCGTTCATCTTTTTCTTTCTCCTTTATTCCGTAATTAGTCGAATATCACGTTTTTAATGAGAGTGCCGGATACGTAATTACATCAATCGCAGGTGGTGCATCTAGCAGCAAATATTGGCTGAATCCGCTAATAGATATACGATGTAGATTTTTACTTTTCGAAGTGCACACGTGGCTGAATCTTATGCATACCTTTTGCGGATGGTTCTATTTGAAGTCAAATCCGACGTTTAACAGCGCATTGTAATTACGAATTAATTAAATTAAAACTACGCCAATGTGATTCTTACTAAAGAATTATAATAAGTATCTACATTTTTTTAAATTAGCTAATTGGAATTGTTAATTAAAATGGTTAATCTTGTTGGTACTTTGTCAGTGGCACATTGGTTTATTATGATAAATATATTTCGATTTTTTAATTATAATTTATATAATCATTTGTGTATTTTTATTAAAAGTATCAAAATTAATGACGTGTTGATAATAAAGATTGACATGTTTTTAATAGCTATCTTGCAATTTTTTCTCGTATCTCTCCAATAATTTTTGTGATTTATAAAAATAAATAAACTGTTCATTCGCGCGCGCGATTCACATTAAAAATATATGAAATTAATATTATCTCCAACGCAACGAATTTCATCAAAGTGTTAAATACATTTTTTGTCTTAGCAGTTTCTTAACAATCTAATTTTCGGTCTTCTTGCTAATGATGAGATTTCTTGAAAACTCTGTTGCTGATAATAAGGGATACGCCGATAAGCGATGTCTTAAGCTGATATAGTGATATTCACCGTCAAACTCTTGTCATGCAAATCAGTGATACTATCGGAAATTAATCTAAGTTCGTCATGCGGAGGCACGTGCGAGTGAGGGAAATGCGTCGGCGCTGTCGATTGACGTGCGTCCGCTGCGTAGGAGTAGTAATATGCGTCAGACCTGGCAAACTCAGGCAACCCGGAAAGAGAGAGGGAGTGAGAGAGAGAACGAATGAATGTGACTCTATAATATTAGCTTTCTCAATTGTTTCAAAATACAACTTATACAAATAATTTTAAATAATCTAAATTTTACACAATCTAAATAATATTAAGAAGATAGAGTGACCAAATTATCGATATCAGTTGTATAAAAATCTCCGAATTGACTGGAATTGAAAATCTTTTTAGAGGATTAAAGTATAGACGCAAAATTAGTAAGTGGTACACAGGATTTTATATAAAATCAAAAAAAAAGTTAAAAACTACTTAACTTTTTTTTTATTTAAATATAAAGCCCACTGCACCACATCTTAATTTTACGTCTACTTTAATCCTGTAAAAGGATTTTTTCATTTTAGTCAATTCGGAGATTTTTATACGATCGTAATGTCGATAATTTGAGATCACTCCAGCATCCTCTTAAATAATATATATTCTTTTAACATTTGCTTAAACGGTTCAAGTCTCTCATGTTGTTTTATTTCATAAGTAAGGCGTTGTATATATATTTTCGCTTCTTTATAAAACATACTCTTTTGCTTTATGTTCTGCAGAATTTTATTGCAATATTTTCCCAATCTGCCACATTTATCTTTCACTCTCATTTTCTACTATTTCTAATTTATTTCTTAATTGCGCTCTGGCAACATGTCGTTTAGGATCTTAAAAATAAAAGTATATTGAAAGAAAAGATTGAAAAAGACTGAATATGGCATAGCATTTTTAATTGGCTGCAGCAGCCAATTTTTGGTTGCATTAGCCTATCTGCAATGTCAGTATAGGATTTCGATAGACTAACACAACCAAAAATTGACTGCTGCAACCAATTAAAAATGCTATGCCATATTTTACCATCTAATTTGCTGCAGCAGCCAATCTTTTTTTTCAGTGTATGATTAAGTTCATTTTCATTAAGTACTTTTCGAGTTATGAGGCTTGAAAGTTATATATCGCCGGCATTAGCATTACACAAGGTATCCGACCAACAGCTAAAACCTCTTGAATGTTGTTCAGAATCATGTCCTGGATAACATTTGTCAAGATCGAGGCCATTCGAGGTTGTACCTCTTATTTTCATTTTTATATAAAAATGAATTTTTAGTGCAAAAATGAAAATAAAAGGAATAATCTCCAACGGCCTTGATCTTGACAAATGTTATCCAGGACATGATCCTAAACAACATTCAAGAGATTTTAACCGTCGGTCGAACAACTTGCGTAATGCTAATGCCGACTGTAGTGTAATTTTCGAGCCTTATAACTCGAAAAATACTTTATTAAAATACTTTATTAATAAAAAAATATTTTATTATAGTGTTTTGAAAAGCTCTCGAGGTAAGCTCAAGAAAATGTAATAAAAAATGGGGGTTTCTATAATATTTAAAAAATTCAAAGTAATCTTGCTCTCACTTTGACAACGCTACCCAAGGTCAAACAAATGGTACCATCTTATGCTCTCCTCAAAGTCATAAAACTTTTGTTTGAACATATTAGGCTGCGTTCCGTTTCACCCATTATGAGCATGATGCATCTTTTATCCTTATTATTCACCGAATATTAATGATGAAAATGCATCATGTGCGAAACGGAATACAGCCTTAGTCATTTGACACACACACTTTTAAAGATAATAGCTTGTAACACTTTACATGGGTCACCCTGTATACACACGCGCGCGCGCGTATGGGGTGAGAAGGGGGGGGGAGAAAAAGAGAGAGAGAGATATGAAGGAAGAGAAAAAGAAAAGCTGTTGATCGAGAGAATAAAATTTCGCGCAACAAGTTTCGACTGTCGGTATCTGGCCTTTATATCATGCCGTAAAATGAGATGAACAAGTTCGCGACAGTTTCGAGCCCGAAACTGCAGACCGCGTTTCCTCTCTCTTTTCTGCGAACAGTAACACGCAAATCCAATGTCAACGATAAATCGTCTCTCTCTTCATAGGCCGCACATGTGCCTCGGACACAATCGGTGTATTTCGCGGTTAAATCATCGGTTTTGTCGGATGGAAAATAGAACGCGACTGGCAAAGATACGTTCGCGATGCCCGCGAGGCTGCGAAACCTGATGGCCCGGTGGAACGAACGACGTGGTTAATGCGTTAGCGGCCCTTTGCCACCCCGTAGGGTTCGAACAGAAATATATCGAAATGTCTCGCCTGTCAAATGCAGCAAATGCTCTAACAAGGACTTTGATATATGGAAATATCACGGAGGTGTTTTAGAATATTAAACATGTGCGAACACCATTGATGCGAACATTCGAGGAACATTCCAAGTCGTATTTACTTTATAGACTGACGTAACTACAAAACTGGGCCACTTTGCAACTTTAAGAGAATTAACTTGAGAATATTTATATATCAAAAATGTAGAGATGCAAAATTACTGTCAAATTCAATTTTACAATTACTAACGGTAAAATTACGGTAAAATGGTAATTTATTGGTAATTTTGATAAAATTTGTTGTTTCTTATAGCTTTATGCACAAATAGACTATATTTTTGTACTTATGTATTGTATAAAATTATACAATCATTCAATATTCCTAGTAGGAATCGCTAATAGAATAACAAGGCTATTGACTAAATCTAAATGTATCCTATTGAAAAAAATTACGTCACAAAGTTACATAACGAAATCATGTAATTAAAACACGCAATGGATTGTTCCAAATCAGTACGTGATTTTTTAAAATTACGTAATTTGAAAAGTTACACGATGATACATTTTTTTTCTTCTATTTCTATCATTTAATTTCATAAGTTTATAAGATATGAAAAATATAGTTCAAGACTACTGTACATGTTTTTGTTTTCAAAATTTTAATAATTTATTTGAAGTTTCTCTAGTTACTACGTACCTATACAGTTCCTTAATTATTATATCAATATGTAGTATCAAAATAAAAATTTAAATGAAATTAAGTGTTTTTAAACTTTTTAACTTAATGATTAAATACTCATATCAAATTACTTTATTTTTATAATTTTTTTAAATTACTATTTTACCTCCATAAATTACTGATTAATTTACAGTAAATTACGGAGTAAATGATCGTAAAATTTGGTCATTTTCATCTCTACAAAAATGATATTTATGTATCTCTAATGTTATTACCAGTATTTGTAAAACCATGAAATTAAACGATTATGGAAGTGACATATTACATTTGGAGTCTTCTCTATATATATATTTATATATTTTAATGTATAAATTATTAAAAATTGTTGGATAAAAAAACTGTTGAAATTTTAGATTTTTTTCTTGTCCGAAAAAAAAAAACTGGAACGTGTTTAACCTAATTGTTTTGTTACACAACTAGTCTTCAAAAAAGTGAAGAAGTTTTCTACATTGCATCACACGTAATGTTGAAAAATATCTTCAGGACGCAACTATCGGTTTTCTAGAAAAGAAAAACGACACTTTACAATTTATTTGTCAAAGAGTTCCTTCGGCGACTACTCTCAAAAGTTTGATGCATCACTGAAAATGCATCAGATGCAATTTACATTTCGCCTCGTCGTTTCGCGTCGCTGTATGCCCAACATAAATTTGTAACTTACCTTCGCGAATTGTATCGTAAGCCGTTAATTTTTACGAAGAATAATTTTCTTTAGCGAATCTTCAAGTTTATCTGTTAAGAATCATGTAATATATACATTGAATCCAGTGAAATACAGAATTCCTCTGTTAACATTAATAACATTAACCCAAAATTTAGATCTCGTGAATTTCTTAGAGATAAACTCACTAACGACAATTAAGATTCAGATAACTAGATCGTTGAAGTTTGGTCTCGGATCAAAACTGTTATCCATTAACCACCATAGCTTACCTGTATCCATTCTATCGTGAGTAGTTCAAGTAAATTCTAAAGTAAAATCTATTACCCCTCCAATCACAATAATCAATGGCGTATCGACAGTTGTATCCTCTTTTCTGCATATACAAAATCGATCTGTGTCTTTCTACGGAACGAAACTATTGCT